TTTAAATCATGTTCAGGTTTTCCAAGGTAAGATTCAATTTAATGTTTTTCTAATAATATGTTGTTCATTGCAATTCAGGAAGATCAAAACGTTCCTTTTATTGTTTGATTCAGGGTACGATATGAATTACAAGCAACATGTGAGTGTGAGGGAGAATATGTTGATGTTGTGTTTGATCATGAAGCTGTGTTGTGCTTGGTTTGGGTGTCACTCGAGGAACTTTACAGTCTAACATATGAAGAAGGATATCAGTACATTCAAGATAGGTGTTATGTGCCTTTTATGGCTGAAGCTTATGTTGCTCCTGGGACTTCAAAAAATCCTCCTGCAATCCGAATTGCTTCAATCTGGAACCCTAAAGCTTTCGTGTGATTGGAAACTGTTCTACTTGGAACCTAATTTGTCGGGACGGCTTATTTATAATTATGTATGTTATCTATTCAGGACATGTTGCTCTGTTTTCTGTAAAAATAACTTAATGTTTTCCCCTAATTACTCTGGTATTTTGGAAATTCACCAATGTACTCGCTTCGACAATTTGCTAGCCGCTGGTTATTCTGTTTAGTCCATATGGAAATCCCTGATGTTTGTACCTCAATAGTTTAGAGAGGTTAATTTTTTGATTTGATCATGAAAAACTAGCAGGAGACATTGTTTGCGTTTTGAATTCTGGGCATGTTCTTCATGTTCTTCCTGTTCTTGCAGAATGACACAATAGAATATTTTATCATGATCCTTTGATCGAAATTAGCAGGAGAAATTGTTTGCATTTTGAATTCTGGGCATGTTCTTCATGTTCTTCCTGTTCTTGCAGAATGACACAATAGAATATTTGATCATGATCCTTTGATCGAAATTAGCAGGAGACATTGTTTGCGTTTTGAATTCTTTAGCCTTAAACGCTTACTAAAACCGAGCCCACGTTTTCTTACGTTTTGATAGTAATGGAATGGTATTGAGCCCAGCCCGAACATGCTTTAGGATTGCAGACAGAAGCCCATGGGAAACTGGCCCAAAATCACTGCTTCCTTTATAATCCCTAACTGTCTTCATCAACCAGATCCGACGTCCACATTTCCATACACTTTGCTCCGCCGCGAAAGCCCCACCACCGAACTACACGATAGCCTTTAAAACAAAGGTAACTCCACGTCCTCCTCTTCCTCACCGTTTTCACACTTGGGAATTAACTTCTGATCATCATCCACATTGTTTGCGTAAAGACCCCAAAAGACATGGAGGGTTTGGCCAAAAACCAGCAGTCAACAGAGGACGCTCACATGGTCCCCACCGACAACAAAGGTGAATGCTTTCCATTTTTGTTAAAGAATACTACCAGGTATCTCGAATCCTCTGCTCCAAAGATAAAATATGTGTTTCATTTCCCTATACTGTCTTATTATAGATCCGATCGAAACTTGCATGCCATTTCGAGGGCTGCGTCTGGGCACCAACGTCCGCATAGTAATTGCTAGGCCTGTGATGGCATGACTCGAGTATCGAGAGGCGCCTAAGCTTAAAAATCTTAGCATGCACATGATCTGGATAGATAAAAAAGTTTTTTTCCATTTCAGTTACAGAATTAGATAATCTCTTCATCAACAATTTTAAACTACTATAATACATAATTTGGAACCGTTTAACTGCTTATCTTATAGGCACGACTAATCGAGTCAATGGTTGATGAAAAAGACATCGCCGAGATTTCTCGCAAGATAAAAGTCGGGAACCTTTATCAGTTTGATTCAGTTGAAGCAATACCAGCAAGAGAGAATCCAAGGATCGTTGCAGGAGAGTTAAGAGTGCACATAACCGCTAATCAAAAAATTACCAGGATTGAGGAGGACCCAGATGAGCCACGCTTGCCCGCTGGCTGGGACATTGGGATGGCTTTTTCGATGGTACCACTTCAGACAAACACCATCGACTATCATACAAGTACATTAACCATATCTATTTGATATAATAAAATGAACTTAAGCTTTAAGTGACAAACTCTTATGTTACTTATAGACATCACAGTATGCATTAGGCGTCTCAGTGTTCCCACAACAATTCGCAGTAGACTCAAAGAATTTCACATGGTCGTTCAGGATGTGAGGTACATTTTGTAGAATAGAATCTCGATCTGCGAATTGTATGAATAAACAACCTCACATATTAGTGTCATTGACAGTGGCGCTAAGGCAACTGTTCGGTATCATGGATATGATATACCGAACTTCTTAGAGAACGCCCCGACAGCTGAGGCTCATCTGCCTCTGATTGTTACAATCAAGTCTGTCATTCGGGTGGCACCTCTAGCCGACCAGAAATACAAGTATCGGTTCGAATCCACTCCTGCCAGTGCACTCATGATCAGATCTTATACAGTCCCATTCCAGGAGATAATGCACATGTACATTTAGTTTGACAGAATACTTTCCATTTTTTGAATCATATTTGTTGCCAGTAGGCCAAAACCAATTACATTGACACTTTTGTCTCTTTTATGCTACAACCAGTTTCCTTTACATTCGCAGGCAAGTTTATTTCATGGATGCCAATACCAGCAAGAAGACAGGCTGCCTTCGATCAGGAATCGAAAAGAAGACACTCTCTGACATGGAAACAATGCTTGCATCTGATCAGACTGTCCATAAGGTTAATGAGGGACAGAACATAAACCAAACTCCTATACTGTGTACCTACATTTTTCGTAGACCTATATCTTATGAATATATGATGTTCATGCTAGGTACTCTATCGTGTTAAGTTCTTCATCTCACAAATGAAATTTCGAAAAGCCATATGTCAAGCGACTGAGGACTGGCCAGAGTAAGTTTTCTATTTCAAAACAACAATTACTTCTCATGTGAATGAATCTATCTACGAATAAGCCAACAAGTTTCTGAACTTATACTTATGACTAGGCTGCACTATGAGTTGGAAGTCAAATGCAAGCAAGGAGATGATAGTGTTATGCCATACTGGACCACGAGGCTACACTATCAATAATAGGAATGTCACCCAGCAAATACAAAAAACTCGATGCAGAATCGGCCAAGGCGTTGCTGGTCAAAAGATGTAGCAGAATGTTTGCAGGAGAGCTCTACATCGGTTCCTCGGATCTGAAGAACAGAACCAGAACAGGCGTATCCCAAATAAGAGTAGCGACACTTTGGCACACCTCAAGGATAGATAAGTGACCATCAGAACTACTGACAGAAAGGCCAACCGAAGTATCCCATCCACCCCCAGAATTCTCCATTTTAAACTGAAGTTTCTATTCCCTATTTTCAGTGAAGACAAAACTATGGCAAATGTGTTTGTGTTTTTTAATTTCGTCAAGGGCATCAGATACTAAAGTTTTTATTTCCTATTTTCAATGAAGACAAAACTATGGCAGATGTATATGTGTGGTGTGCACAAAGATTGTTAATATGTTTGTTAATTTCTGCGCACTCTCGCGCAATGAATCTAAACTATTTGCGAATGGTATAGCAGAAAGAACATAACAAAATCCACAAAACAACTGGAATCACACTTACCCCGCCGCGGAGCGCGGGCCAAGTACTAGTTATTTATATTTGGGAAGAAGAACGCACCTAATTTTAAATATGGAATCCACGACTGGTTAGGGGAGATAGAGCTCCAGCTGGCTGCGGCGATAGCCTGTCTCGTGTGTTGGAAATTTGGTTGAACCAACCTAACCGGGTCAAACTTGTTTGAGGTTGGACCGAGTTAGTTAAATTATTGGGTCAGGATAATTAAAATTAATTAGCCTACGTTCCAATTGATTATCCAACCGCTCACTTGGTCCTGGCAAATTACATATGGCTTGCTTTTACTTATGAAAGACACGTTTCTTTATAATTAAAGTGGCCATATTTATAATGCATGGACGGTTGTGGAGGGCAATTTCATTTGCATGGTTATTCCAATTTAAAGGTTCCATGAAGGTTTGGAATTGGTGGTTGGATTATTTTGATAATGGCAACGGATGGGGACCTTGGTTCATGAAGAGACGTCTCTTCCCAGTAGGCAGTAGGGCTGGGAATCCAGACCAAACCGTATGGAGAATCGCGGTCTAGACCGTATCGTATGGTTTGCCGTCTGGACCGTGAGACCAGAACTATGGTCTGGTCTGGTTTGTGGTCTCCTCCTTTAGTGCGTGGTCTGAAGTGGTCTGTACCGCGGTCTACCGCAGTAAACCGTAACAGACCGCGACACACTACCTACTATCTTGGACAAAAATAACACTAAATTGAACCTCCATATGTGTATTTGAAGAACAAAGTTAGTTGATTCTTCATCTAGTTGAGAGCCAACAAATTGCAAAATGATCGCTTATATGTTATCTCCTTATCAAAGTACCACACAAAAATTAGAAAGACTCATAAATAATATTCACAGATAATGTCTAGACTATGGAGTCGATAAAAATTGAACACTACAAAAAAATTCGTTCACCTTGATGAGATAAGGAAAATTATTGAGAGATATGCGACCATCTTAGTGGTTCGAAATTACCTCGACGTCATCAAAAAGGTTATCAACTGGGAGAACCTTCGAATCACTCGAGAGAGGAGAGAAGCGGTAGCACAAAGAGTAATAGGGAAATAAGGCTATTTGAAAATTGAAAAAACCCACTTCTATCCTCATATTTCTTCTCATTTAATACGGTCACAATTTTTTTGTTTCACTAGCATATTCATCACTAGATTTTTTTATAGATACCGGCGAAGGGTTGGAGTGCGAACAAGAGTTAATTTTTTTTAACATGGTCTGTCTGGTCCAGACCATACCGGACCGCACCGCACAGGTGTGGTCTGGTCTGGACCGTATAGTATATGGTCTGGTCCATGGTCTGTGTTCCAACCTCTCGGTCTGGACCACAGACCGTATCTATGGTCTGGTCTGGACCGGACCGCACCGTTTCCCACCCCTAGTAGGCAGGCCGCTTGGTTCCAAACTTCCAACCATACCGGCTAATCAAATTAATGGTGCCATGCATTTGATTTGAATAATTCCATGTATTGTTCCTATCTTTTCCCATAAGTTGCAAAGGTTTACTTGGAACAAGGTAATGTTTCGGATTGAAGCAACATGCTTGTTCTGTCTCTATAAATAGAGATGGTTGTATAGAGAGAAAAAGAACATCAAAATATTCATTCTTCTTCCTACTAAAAGTTCTAAGTATGCTTTAGGTACTTAAGCCTGGAACCTAAAGTGGTGATAGTTTTATCCTACGAAGAAATTTCCTGTAACCCTAGGCTTGTTGAGGGTGGAAATATTCTTTACGGAAAGTGAACGTTGTTCACGACTCTATCATAATCCTAGTCACCCGGTCTCGGGCTATCATACGTATACCCTCGTGAGAAGGGAGTTCTCGGGAGGATCCACCCGTCTTTGGAAACCAAGCAGCGAGCGTCGACGTGGTCGGATGAGGATTCGTCCTCGTCGTCCCGCCGCTTTCTCGGATGGCGGGGAAGGAGGTGAAGAATTGTTGGTGGAGGCGGAGGTATCGATCGCGCTGGCCATGGGTGTCCGACATCTTGGACGTGGACGGGAAGAGACGGAGAGCGATTGACGTACGGCGGCGGTGGTGGGTTCATGAGTGCAGTGAGGGATACGTGAGGTCATGGATTTGGCCTCTCGACCCACCATCTGGACTGTAGGGATGACAATTTTGCTCATACTGACTCGCTATGACACAACACCTAACAAAGGCCAAGTGTAACCAATGAAAGGGACTGCAGTATAGTGGCTCAAGTGATAAATATCGAATCCACGGGTCTCTAGAGTTACTATTACTCAGCTTCAGTTTATTATTTAGCAAATCAGATTAAGATGAAAGAACTAAAACTACTCTAGCAAACTACAGTTAAAGTTAATCTAATTACAGGTTGGGAACTCACTTAGGTATGATTCCACCTAGCCACTAGCCAGAATAACGATTGATGATTTCCAACTTGTTTCACTTTCATTCACAATGCGGAGAATCCTTGACTAGACCTTGAGTCTCGACTAAAGGAACAAGGCCCTCTTGAGTCAATTGCCTAGAGGGACGTATCCTTCTCTAGAACAACTGATCAAGGCGTTCTGAATTAGACTCCCTCTATCGAAAGAGGTTCTCAATCGATACAAAGCAGTGAATCAACCCTCGACTAAAGCAATCGATCCACTACTATCAATCTATGGTGCTCTATTGACCTAATCAGGTATTCCCTCTCATAGGATCAAAGCAGAATCAATAATCTCGACTAAAGCAGAATTGAATCATGAAAACATGCATATATTGAATATGAACTGAAGATTATCAAGTCAGAGTACTCATACAATCATCCAATCAAACAAACATAGCTAGGGTTGCTCAAAACCTAAGTGAAGGGAAGTTACTCCATAGAGAAGAAAGAGACTGCAGTAAGAATCTTCAGATGATCAGTCTTCAAGTCCGGGCTTGTTCCTCGAGCTTCCAAGGCGAAAAAATCCTCCAATTCCACTCTTAGAATGCCCTCAGATCGCCTTTTCTCTCTTTGGTTCGTCCCTTGGGTGTTTGGGATCCAAAACCCAGCTCTCTCCTTTCCTTTGGCTGAAAATCGGGTTTTAAACAGCAATTCCCGACTCACATGGGCAGGCCGCACGGCCGTGCAGCTCACCCAGTTGCCCGTGCGATTCAAAACGCAGCGTATCGATTAGTTGAATTCCAGGCTTCTTACACGGCCAGGGTCGCACGGCCGTGCAGCTCACCTTGCACGGCCGTGTGGATTTTCTGCACTGCCCGTGTGGCTTGCTCAGTCTTTGTTTAATGCTTCGTTTCTCCCTCGTCCGGACTCCGAATCAGTTGCCGTTTGATCCCAGACGCTCGTAGTCTCGTCCTCTTTCGTTTCATAACAAACTTGCATGATTCTTTGTCCATAAAGTGAGGTAGAAATCCATTCTTCTTCAGGTCATGCCCGAGTTTCTTCTCTCGAATCGTCAATTGATCTCTGATTGACTTGAAACTTGCGCCTATGCTTCACTTTATGTGCTAGGACCTGAAATGGGACAAAGGAACACAACCTATCATAAAATAGGCCAAAGACGCCATAATTCAAGCTCAAACAATCAAGAAACAAAGGGGAAAACATGTGCAAATACTGAGTCATCAAATCCCCCCACACTTAACTGTTTGCTTGTCCCCAAGCAAACCTAACTCAAACCAATGCAACTCTCCAGACCTCTATAGCAACAAAAACCCCAGATCGTAGGTAGAGGACTTCCTAGATTATTTAGCAACTTACGAGGTCAACCGACACACAAGTCATCTCATAGCTTCTTCGGCGAGAGCACTAGTATCGAGTCGGCATCATGGCAAATAGTGAACAGAGGACAAATGAATTGTGGATGAAGAGATTCTCAAAAACAAAAGATCATGGACTCACATTTTTCAAGGTGCTCTATTTTCTTCTTGAAGATGGTTGGAACCCCTTTTCTTTTCTGTTTTGCTTGTTTTCTGTTTTTTTTTTTTTCCAAGGGTCCCAACCTGCTCTTACCGGCCATGCCAGGAGCGGATGTCTCGAGCCTCGTGCGGGGGAAAGACATGTAAGGGGGCTGGAGGTAGTAGGTGGAAATTGGGAACGAATTCCCGTCTCCCCTTACACACTTTGGCCCTATTCGCACGGGAGACGTTATTTTGAAGCACATTTTCGAGCACCTGTTAAACTCAAAACATGATACAAGAGTCCATGACAGGTAGAGAATCCACAACACCACACAATTCAAGGGTCCTAAGATCACTAATTCACTCAATCAACCAACACAATATGAAGAAGCAATGAGACTTCTTAAATGCATCAACATCCTCCATAGTGCTACACTACCTCCCTAGGTTGCATATTACTATAAAGACTGTCAATTCAAAGCGTACTGAGCAGGCAATTGCAAGGAACACGTACTTGGAGCCCTCAAATTCAAAAATTTGGACAGTGGACTAGGCTCCAAACACACAAACAGCCAAACATTCACCCGCATACATAATCGAACATCCCCACACACTTAAGCACGACATTGTCCTCAATGGAGGAAAGATAAGGAGGGTAGAACGAAGTTACCAGATCAAGGGTGAATGATGATGAACGGGTCAGGCGGTGCATTCCAGAAAGAGAGAGTAATCAGAACACAAACACCACACAAAATCTCACAAAGGTTGAGTTATTGACTCTAAAATCAAATAGCAAAACTGACTCAACCGAGGAGAAATAGAGAAAGAAATGCAAACCGACTGGTTGGGTTGCCTCCCAACAAGCGCTTCTTTCACGTCGTGAGCCGGACGATGGCTCCTAAGTTTCGGTCCATGCTAGAACCTCCTTGAAGTGGAGGTTCTCGTCGATGAGGTGGAGTCTCAAGTCACGAGCATGTGGTGTGGCAGGTGATGAAGGCTCATGTACTTGATGCAGATGAAGTCTCCACCCTCGAGACCTCTTCTTCTCTTCTCTCGTCTCATTGCCCCAAACCAGATAAGACAACATCAATTGGCCACCATCGCGTCCACCAAGAGGGACCGATGTCGATGTGGCCTTGGTCTGGCAAAGAGACACTGCAAATGGGTCCTTGCTAAACAGTTCCTCGAAGTTTGGTGGAGATATCACATGTAACTCATGGCCGGTGCAGGCCTCTTCCACCTTAACTCCGTCCTCAGCCTGGATGCCAATTGCTTCTTCAACCTCCCTTCCTTCTTCATGTGGTATCACCCCTGGGAAATGATCAAGAACTCCTCCAGCTTCATTTTCGTCATCCTCCACAACTTCTTTCTGCACCCTTTCTTGCTCTTCTTCTTCTAGCACGGATTGGAGAGCAAGTTTCCAAGCAATTTCTTTCATGAGATCTTCTTGCATCTCCTCACTCATGCCCGCCTCTTCAAAGCTCAGTTTGGGGTGTGGGAAGGTGTGGTCGGCTACGACATGACACTCCTGATCATGATCATCACGGGAGCTCTCCGTGACAACTTCAGTGTGCTCCACAATGTCCTTGTAGCCTTCTTCGTCCTCCTCCTCTTCTTGTATGGTAGCAGAAGGGTGATCTGGAGCAGGTTGTGCCAAAGATCTCTCAAGATCATCGACACTCTTCTTAAGGCTCAGGAGGATCTCCTCTGTTTCACGAAAGGCCTGGACACAATGATCCATCCTGGAGCATGATCTCTCCATGAGAAGCCTTAATTCGTAGTGTGGATCTGGCTGTGGAGTGTAGCATGGCTCTGCAGAATGGCCCGTGAAGGCCGCCATGGGTAACTCCAGCGCCGATGGCCCTTCTGGTTGTGGAAGAAATTCTTCTTGGTAATGAGGTTGTTCTTGATATGCCCAGGGGTCCGGTTGTTCTCCGTAGTAAGGGGGTTGGTACTGGAACCCGAATCCATAGTCTTCTCCTCCTTGATTGCTCCAGGGAGTCTCGGGGTAATACCACCCGGATGGTGGTGGATACCCCCAATGATTGGAGAAGCCATTAGGATCCATGATTCAGATCTGCACCAACAAAAACAAAAACACCCAAGTGAAAAACAAGGGTGGAAAAGAAAAGAAAAGAAAAACGCTAAAGTAACAAACTTCTGCCTTTCCTAATACTCTAGAAAGTCCCCGACAACGGCGCCAAAAACTTGACTCGCTGTGACACAACACCTAACAAAGGCCAAGTGTAACCAATGAAAGGGACTGCAGTATAGTGGCTCAAGTGATAAATATCGAATCCACGGGTCTCTAGAGTTACTATTACTCAGCTTCAGTTTATTATTTAGCAAATCAGATTAAGATGAAAGAACTAAAACTACTCTAGCAAACTACAGTTAAAGTTAATCTAATTACAGGTTGGGAACTCACTTAGGTATGATTCCCCCTAGCCACTAGCCAGAATAACGATTGATGATTTCCAACTTGTTTCACTTTCATTCACAATGCGGAGAATCCTTGACTAGACCTTGAGTCTCGACTAAAGGAACAAGGCCCTCTTGAGTCAATTGCCTAGAGGGACGTATCCTTCTCTAGAACAACTGATCAAGGCGTTCTGAATTAGACTCCCTCTATCGAAAGAGGTTCTCAATCGATACAAAGCAGTGAATCAACCCTCGACTAAAGCAATCGATCCACTACTATCAATCTATGGTGCTCTATTGACCTAATCAGGTATTCCCTCTCATAGGATCAAAGCAGAATCAATAATCTCGACTAAAGCAGAATTGAATCATGAAAACATGCATAGATTGAATATGAACTGAAGATTATCAAGTCAGAGTACTCATACAATCATCCAATCAAACAAACATAGCTAGGGTTCCTCAAAACCTAAGTGAAGGGAAGTTACTCCATAGAGAAGAAAGAGACTGCAGTAAGAATCTTCAGATGATCAGTCTTCAAGTCCGGGCTTGTTCCTCGAGTTTCCAAGGCGAAGAAATCCTCCAATTCCACTCTTAGAATGCCCTCAGATTGCCTTTTCTCTCTTTGGTTCGTCCCTTGGGTGTTTGGGATCCAAAACCCAGCTCTCTCCTTTCCTTTGGCTGAAAATCGGGTTTTAAACAGCAATTCCCGACTCACACGGGCAGGCCGCACGGCCGTGGAGCTCACCCAGTTGCCCGTGCGATTCAAAACGCAGCGTATCGATTAGTTGAATTCCAGGCTTCTTACATGGCCAGGGTCGCACGGCCGTGCAGCTCACCTTGCACGGCCGTGTGGATTTTCTGCACTGCCCGTGTGGCTTGCTCAGTCTCTGTTTAATGCTTCGTTTCTCCCTCGTCCGGACTCCGAATCAGTCGCCGTTTGATCCCAGACGCTCGTAGTCTCGTCCTCTTTCGTTTCATAACAAACTTGCATGATTCTTTATCCATAAAGTGAGGTAGAAATCCATTCTTCTTCAGGTCATGCCCGAGTTTCTTCTCTCGAATCGTCAATTGATCTCTGATTGACTTGAAACTTGCGCCTATGCTTCACTTTATGTGCTAGGACCTGAAATGGGACAAAGGAACACAACCTAGCATAAAATAGGCCAAAGACGCAATAATTCAAGCTCAAACAATCAAGAAACAAAGGGGAAAACATGTGCAAATACCGAGTCATCACATACCCATGGGTATTTTACTATCCAACCCAATTGGGTTGGGTATGGATTCCAAATAAATGGTAGATGGGTAGAGTTTGATGGATTTGTACACATACATACACATTTACTTGGGTTGGGTTGGGTTTTTAACACATGGATTTGTACCCATGCCCAAAGGCAAATTACAGTTTGGTACCTAAACTTAATAGATATGTAGATTTAGTACCTAATTAAATTTTTTTTTTTGCATATAAGTCCTCAAAATATCGATGGAAAATTACATTTTGGTACCTAAATTTTTTTGGTCTTACATTTTGGTACCTAAACTTTTCATGTTTTACAAATAGGTCCACTTTTTGTGTGTAGTTAAAACACCCTCAAGTAAATGGATATCCATATCAAATCCATACCCATTTACATTATGAAAGCAATATCCATACCTAACCCAAACCCATATACACTTCATCCAAACCCTACCCATACTAAATGGATCTATTTGGATTTGGGTAAAATTATCCATGGGTGGGTAATTGCCATCCCTACGTAAATTAAAAATGATAAATGTATCGGATTCGTCATTCGTAAATTCATATATTTTATTCTAAATTTTGTTGATAGAATTTATGGGTTGGATGAAAATTTTATGAAATAAAACTTGGTAACTCCTCCTAAGTGCCATTACTCTCACCCTAAAGTTACTCATCCTATCTTGAGCTTTTTATGGTATAGAAAGTTTATTATTACTTTCTTAATCAATCAGTGCATTATTCAATTTAATTATCCTTCTAATTATTTATCATGATCTTCCTATTCTAGTTTTAATAGTCTTTTATTTCCTCCTCAATCAGTGCGTGGGTTTGCATTCAGGTACATTTAATCTCTTTATTATCTTTCTATTTTTATTGTCAAGCTCTATAATTGCTCGATTTAACCTTTAATTTCTCCTATTATTATAATTACTTTTTAAATTCAAATTAGTCTTTATTAGCTCCTTAATCACTACGTTATTTGTTGATTAGGTGAGCATTAATAATTTAATTCTTTCTTATTTATAATGACTTATGATTGCTTATTTACATAAATTGGTTTTTAATCTCTCCATGTTGCATCACACCATTGGCGTGGGGATTCGGTAAGGACAGGTTTTAAACTCTTAGGATAGATGTTTCTAACTCCAAATTGATCTCCTTTTTTTGTCTGTTGTTTTGCAGGAGAATCATTATTCATTTCAATGATCTTTTGAAGATGAATCAACCTCAGTCACTCGAAGGGCTATCTTGGAAAAGTTTTCTTTATTTCATTTGTGTCGGTTAGGGCTGGGAAACGGTGCGGTCTGGTCCAGACCAGACCATATATACGGTCTACGGTCGAGACCGAGAGGCTAAAGTATAGACCACAGACTATACGGTCCGGTCCAGACCACGCCTGTGTGGTCTGGTTCGGTCTGGTCTGGTCCAGATAGACCACACTCAATAAAAAATGAATAATTTCTTTAGTCAACCACACAAAAAATTGAACGAATAACCAAGAAAAATAATTGTTATTTGCCTTAAAACATTAATCCTAACATGTATGAATAATTTTGATACTCTAAATCTTATTACATAACAAAGATACAAAGTAAAAGCATCCCAGCTTGCACCATAATGTCATAAACATTAACATAATGTCATATGGAGACACGATTATCTCTACTCTGTGGTTAAATGTGGTTGTGAATGAAGGAGGGAAGAGATTCACAAAATTAAGGTTGAGACTTGGGTGTCGTTGTGGGAGTTTGGAGAGTGGTCGAATGGGCTGTTAACACGTATTGACAAGTCAGTTGAGTCTACGGTTTGGTCCGGTAAACCGCGGTCTATACCAGACCAGACCAAGAGATCAAATCATAAAATAATACAGACCATGGACTAGACCAGACCATACTTCACGGTCTACGGTCCAGACCAACTGTGCGGTACGGTTTGGACCACGATTTTTCTAACGGTCTGGTCTATTTTCCCAGCCCTAGTGTCAGTATCGTGTCTTTTGCTCCTCGGAACTTTTCCAGAGCTGCCCGTGTAGTGGCGTAGCTCTTTCATCGGTAGTTCAATTCGAGCCCTCTTGGCATATCTTGGGGAGAAAAAAACAAGAACAACTAAACTAAATGCCGCAGCAACTTGACCAAGAAAAAAAAATCGCAGCAAATCAAGACACTAGTACTAGGAAAACGAGGCAACATAGTATCGATGATGATATGTACTATCTTTCTTCTAGTGAACGGTTTGGCAAGGCCATCCTCGAGAGAGTACGGGTGGGCATTGGTGAGGTCGGAGTCGAACCACATCAAATCGGCAATCGCATATGCAGTCAAACCAAATCACATCCTTAATTTTACAGTCTAAGATGCGATCTACATTTTATGGGGTTCAAACCAAAATTTGTGCGGTTGCCATTTAAATTCGCAAACCACAATCAATTGAGGCCATTCAAACTTTTTGCTTGTATGGAGGTTTAGAACTGCAAATCTCTAATATAGTTCATGAATCATGATAGGTTTTTTTGTGTTTGTATAGTTCGAGTGGTTGCAATGATGGGGAGTATATATGCAAAGCCAAGCAGGTAGTCATTCAGAGCGGGAACGTACCATTTCTCCTTAGCAACTGAGCAAGGTCCTTCCAATCGTCAACCTCCATGAAATTCTTCAGTTTGGTAATCATAGCAGAGCAGTACGAAAATTGAGGTCTTTGTAGATATGCAGTTGGCATTTAGGGTTTCCAAATCTACCAATGATTGATCCTCTTTGAAATCAAATTATTGATGGTTCCTGTCATCGTCGCTAGAAGCTAGTAAAACCGTCGCTAAAGAACATTTTTCGTTGTAAACGAATGTCTCTACTTAATAGTTTCACTGAACTATTTGCTTCTGGATCTTATCATAGAGAGATAGCAGCTCTCTAAGATTTCCAGTTTTCACACAATATCCACTACTCATCATAGACAAACAATGACATTACTCATTAGCAGCTAGCTCTGAAAGCGACTCCATCTCCGATCTAGTTCTCAAGCCAAGGTCCACATCAGCTCTTTCTTTACCCTTGTTCTTTCTTCGTAAGAGGAATCAGGTGGTAACAAATCCTCATCTATGAAAACAAAGATGCCTTTCGTTACGAAGCAATTAGGTAACAACTCGCGACACCAACTATATGCACAAATCATTAAGAAAAGAAAATAAAAGAGTCAATAATTGACCAGATCGACTATTTACCTTTGCAAGTTGAGTTACTACACCTCCTGAAGACGCAAATTTCATACTCGCCAAACGTCCAAGACGCACAAGACACCATTGTTTGGTAAGTCCCAACGTAACTCTTACTACTCTCATCTGACTCGTTGAAGCCTTCGAAAGTTACATAGAATATATAATAGCGACAAACACGCTGGATGCATACGTTCAAGATGCTGAGTAGGATCAAATCCTGACCCTACAAAACATTATTCAATTTAATTAACACGCATGTATGCTAGCTAGCTAGTGTACGTGCCCACGAAGTACCACCACTTCATTACCTTTTGTTCATTGTATGTGTCGATCACGAATTTTACGCACGTCTTAAGCCTCTTGTCATAGTCCCGAACACGCATGGAATAATGTTCTCGTGGGTAAAGTCGGCCCCAATGGGACGATGGAGGGCAATCAACATCGAAACACTTCGCATTCAAAAAGAGTCAAATTCAGAAAACCCTAACATGGTGAAAATCGGAGTGGATTAATTCTGATCAGTTTTTTTGGTGATGAGTTGAGTTACTTACACCGGTCACGTTACGCTTCCTCCTGTAATGGATGACCCTTAGCATCAGTTCTTCGTCGCCCTCGAAATCGTCATCCTGCCATATATAATCGAGGTCATCGGGCTTGGGTTTCAGCTTCAGCTTATCAAGTTCCCGGCAGCGTTTGCACTCGCCATCCCCGTACCGGAGCTTCGGCCATTCGGGTTTCTTCTGATTAGCCATGGATCGATGAACGGCGGACGACGGTGGCGGCAGATGAAAGGCTGGGAACGAGAGAAAAATGCTGCGAGTGGAAGGGGTGGGACTAGGGAGGAAGAAAATTAGGAAAATCGATCGGTAAAGGAATCCCGCGGCCAACTTCATGGAAGCTAAAACTTGGACCGGCCCAAGTAAATTAGCAATCCACGCAACTTATAAATCATCCAATTGAATCAAATTGTCTCATTTAACTATAAATAAACAATTTAGCTAATTGGATTCAGGGCTTCTGGACTTCCTATCGAGCTTGCAAGTACTTTAATGTGTAGAGGGACACTTCAGCTTCAAAACAAGCCATTAATCTCCAATTTCCATCTAGCCAATAGTAAGATATGAATTCCAAAGTAGGCACCATAAAACTGTTTTTACACTGAAACGGAAAGTGCATGTCACCGTAAGATAAGAGGTTGACCGGAAAGTGCATGTCACTGTAGCAAAGTCCTAAAAAGACATGTACTGGGATTCGAACCATGACCATTTTAAAGAAAAACAAGGATCATAACCAATCACACTAAGTACATTGGTTGTATTTTTTTAAATTAAAAACATATAATAGCAGGGAGGAAAAAACCCTTCCCCTATTTCAAATTCCATGCTCCATGTGCGTTTGTAGGAAGGGTAGAATAGGGAGTGACAATTTTTTCTCTTTCCTCTGTGGAACGGGCCAACTTACCGTACACATGCGAATTTAAACGTGTCCAGGAGTGTCAATTTTTTCTTTGAGCACTTCTATTTCTCCGTGGTGATAAAATATATATGAAAAGGCAAAAACAATACTTCTTTTTATTGCTAAAAATAAAAAATTTAACAATAAACTAATACATGGTATCTAATGGGCTAACCGCTAACCATAAAATAAAAGAGTTGAATGGGCCTGACCTACACGGGATTTGGCCATCAAGTAAAACAAATGAACATCATTGGTTTAACATTCTAAAACAAGCTATTTTCTCTGACATAATATATATTATGCTATTATTTTATATCTTAGTGGCTAAAATATAATGTATTTTAAAGTTATTCAATGGGTCAACCTCGACCAACCCAATAAGTCCAATTTTTATCATTTCAAATATATATTATATAATTATTTGGTATCATAATGATCAAATTATAGTGTATTTTATAGGGAATCATTTGGTATTTGTGAGTAAAAAACTAAACAGAAAGATCTATTTGGTTATTTTAAACATTAAAACAATCCTAAACATTTTCAGTTCCTTTTGAATTTCTATGGTTTTATTCCCGAATAAGTGATGTGCAAATGGCGAATTGCAGTCATCTCTTTTCTTTCACTATTTTTTTTTATTTTCAAATAGAAAGTTTAAAAGTAAAGAATAATTATAGTTTGGCATGTGTCGGTCAAACATGCTGAATTTCAAGTTTTGGCCCGCGGGTTTCTTCTGATTAGCCATGGGTCGATGAACGGCGGACGGCGGCGGCAGATGAAAGGCTGGGAACGAGAAGAAAAATGCTGCGAGTGGAAGGGGTGGGACTAGGGAGGAAGGAAATTAGGAAAATCGATCCCGCGGCCAACTTAATGGAAGCTAAAACTTGGACCGGCCCAAGTAAATTAGCAATCCCACGCAAGTAAATTGGATTATGTTGTCTCATTTCGCTATAAAAAAACAACTAGTGTGGGCCCCGGTCATTTGGCCGGAGTAAGGTGAGGTATGAAATTTGATAATGTAATGGAGTGTATAGCTTATTGTTGTATAGTTTTTTTTGGGAAACACATGATAAAAATAGTGAATTTTAGTAGGAAAGAGACATGAATGATGCAACGAATAAAAAATCAGCCTTATTAACCAAAATCAAGTACCTGTTACCTTGTGAAACAATATTGTTTCTAGTAATATGATGAGGTGGAGTAAGTTTTATAGAAACCGAATTCCAGAAAATCGAATAAAAAATCGCCTATCCCGTCGGTTTTCGGGAAATGAGCATCTCACAATCGTTACTAGCTTTTACTCGGCCCGTTGGCCGATTAATTTACTTTATAAAACTTTCATCTTGTCATCATTGTGCTTTTGGGTTTTTTGTCAAGCCATGATAAAATCTAAAGAAATCAATAATGAACAACACGATTTGGGATAGGAACCACCGTTCCTGTATCCCTAGAAAATGGTGGGTAAACACGGACTCACCTGCCAAACTGGTTTGGATTGAGATTTATATCGGGTATCAGGGAACCATGTGATTATAAATTGACTTGATCAAAACGGGCCAAAACTTGAAATTCAGCCTGTTTGACCGACCCATGCCACTCTAATTATTCTTTACTTTTAAACTTTCTATTTTGAAAATAAAAAATAATGAAAGAAAAGAGATGACTGCAATTCGCCATTTCCACATCACTGATTCGGGAATAAAACTATATAATTTTGAAAGGAAACGGAAAATGTTTAGGATCGTTTTAATGTTAAAAATAACTAAATAGATCTTTCCGTTTAATTTTTTACTAACAAATACCAAACGATTCCCTATAATATACACTATAATTTAATCATTATGATATCAAATAATTACATAATATATATTTGAAATGATAAAAATTGGACTAATTGGGTTGGTCGAGGTTGAATCATTGAGTAACTTTAAAATACATTTTATTTTAGCCACTAAGATATAAAATAATAGCATAATATATATTATGCTAGAGAAAATAGCTTGTTTTAGAATGACAACCCCATGATGTTCATTTGTTTTACTTGATGGGCAGATCCCGTGTAGGTCATACCCATTCAAATCTTTTATTTTATGATAAGCGGTTAGCCCATTAGAATCCATGCATTAGTATATTGTTGAATTTTTTTCTTTTTAGCAATAAAAAGGAGTATTTTTTTTCCTTTTCATATATATTTTACCACCACGGAGAAATAAAAGGACTTAAAGAAAAAAATCGACACTCCAGGACCCATTAAATCCGCATGTGTACGGTAAGTTGGCTCGTTCTACAAAGGAAAAAGAAAAAAAATTGACACTCCCTATTCTACCCTTCCTATAAACGCTCTTGAAGCACGGAATTTGAAATGGGGGAAGAGTTTTTTCCTCTCTGCGATTATATATTTTTAATTTAAAAAGATACAACAAATATACTTAGTGTGATTGGTTATGGTCTTTGCTTTTCTTTAAAGTGGTTATGGTTCGAATCCTAGTAAGTGTCTTTTTAATGAATAAAAAAAAAGTAATTGTGAAGACCAAAATGTCCTTCTTACTTTCACTCTGGATGCTGGAAATTTGAAATGAGACTTCAAGTTTTTTCATTTGACTTTTATTTATTGTGTAGATTTAGCCATAAAGAAGGTGGATGAAGCAATTGGATTTGGGGAAATTTTATTTGGTTTATTTCGGGGCAATTCAAATTGTTTGCGTTGATTGAATCCTAATTAGTAGTGGTTAGTGGAAGGATGGATGATCTTACTATGCATGACGATGGTAATGAAGACGTTAATGATCTGAGAATTTTTTTATGCTGATGGTTTACCGATAGATAGAGAGAAAGAAGAGTAAAAGTGTAATTTGGACAAAATGTCTCATTTTCATGTTCTCATCCCAAATACTAACCAAATAAGATAATTTCAGACAAATGCCTCAGATAAATACTCATCTTTTAAAACGAGACAATTGGGTCAAATTGCTTCATGCCCCAATTGTTCCATCAAAACGACCCATAGTACATTTTAAGATTCTACTTTTCACCATTCAAAAAATGAAGCTATGAAAGTAAAGTTCGGCGGGGAACTTTGGTCATTTTGAACCTTTTTAATTCACAGTCCATACGTAGTATTTTTGGGAGACGTTCTTTTTGTTTTTGTCCTTTTGGTATTTATAGTTTGTACACTGTTCATGTAACATCTCAAATCTTTTTTAGATCAAGATATTATCTGTTTTGAATCCAAATCAAAGCAGTTAGTATTTGGGAGGAGGGAAACTTTGTACATGAGTATGCCTCTAGAATTGCTTTTTTCTTTTTAAATCGTGTATCCACGAGTCAAATATTTTGAAAACCATGACATATTAGTAAATAACCATAAACAACGAAGTAATTTGAAACTCTAAAAAAATTAAATCTAAATAGAATCTTAAGAGCACACAAACCAAACACCAAATAGCTAGGTCGTTTTGTAGAACGCGGGCTAAATAGCTAGTACATATAGTTAGACAAAGAAGACGGTATGAATTCACATCATCATCATCATTATTATTATTGTTGTTGTTATTATTATTATTATATACTTAAAAGAGAGATTTTAAGGTTTCTGTTTATTAGGGTCAAATCAATAGGTTATTAAAAAATAAATTTATCATCAATGGGGATTGTTTCCCATTGTTTTTAGCTGCCATTTCTTGCTTGCCATGGTTAGCTGGTTTCTCCCTTCAAATTTTATGCTCTCTTTTAATTGTAGAGAAGTTGCATGGATACAATTCTAGAGACTAGAGGTAAATCAATGGAGACACTAAAATTTTAAAAAAAGAGAGGTTTTAAGGTTACTGTTTATTAGGGTCAAATCAATAGGTTATTAAAAAATAAATTTATCATCAATGGGGATTGTTTTCCATTGTTTTTGTCTGCCATTTCTTGCTTGCCATGGTTAGCTGGTTTCTCCCTTCAAATTTTATGCTCTCTTTTAATTGTAGAGAAGTTGCATGGATACAATTCTAGAGATTAGAAGCAAATCAATGGGGACATTAAAATTTTTGAAAAAAAAAGGATAAATTTTTATGCCCTTTTTTAATTGTAGAGAGGTTTCATGGATACTAACTCTAGAGACTAGAGGCAAATTAATGGAGACATTAAAATTTTGAAAAAAGGACTAACTTTTTGTGATTGTCCGCCTTTCAAATAAAAGAATTTATGCCATCTTTTAGTTTGAGAAGTGAAAACCTTCATATTTTATGCCCTATCTTAATTATGGGTCAAATTAACGGGACTTTTTAATTTCATTTTTTTTCCTTCCTCA